CTGGAGTGGGGAAGGTCCCTTGCCCAACACCACTCTGACCGCTGCACAGCCAGCCCCAAATCAGGACGCCCTTCTGCTGGTGTGGGGACGGGAGCAGGGAGAGGGGCTGTGTGTGTCCCCAAGCACTGGTGTTGCCCTGTGGGCTGCTTTCGACCACCCCATCCATCCCTGCCCTGAGGCCGCCTCCACACCTCCCGCCCTTCTTGCAAAGAAGTTATTTTTTCCTGAAGGTTTGCTGATCCTTTTGAGGATGAAGGCCACGGGGCCACAGGGTGGGAGGGGAAGATTGTCTGTCCATGACAGGAAGTGATCACCGCGTTGGGGAGGGGAACAGTCAGAATGAAGCCAGCTCTGTCCATAACCCCAGATGGGGACACCAAGGGCCAGGGCGGTGAAGGGACTTGCCCAAGGTCACACAGCCAGGAGCAGAGCCCAGAATTCCAGTTCCAAGTCCGTGTGTTTGACTGGCCTGTGAACGTGCCTCAGGAGAGAGAAGCCACAGAACCCCAGGGACAGACAGGGAAACCGAGGCCCAGGGCCGTGGCAGCATTGGTCGGGGTCAGTGGCCAGTCTGAGCCAGAGCTGGACATAGAAGCTGAGCCACCTGCCCCCCCCCCACTCCCTGCTGCCCAGACTGGCTCCTGTACCCCAGGAACCCCACTTCCCGGGCGGGGGAGTCTGGGACTGCCTTCCCTCTGGCAGGAGCCACATGCTGTCTCGTGATGCCCTGGAGCTTGGCCCGCTCCTCCGGGCAGCTGCTGGGTTCCGCTTCCTCATCCATCCCTGGGGGAAGTATCACTTCCCGTCTGGGCGGCAAGGCCCGCCAGGTGGATGCAGCTGCCCCCACAGCCCCCGGCCCCACGCGGGGGTTCCTGAGGCTGACCAGGAGCCGGGCTGGAGACGTTCCAGGGCCCTTCGTGGCTCCAGGACTGGCATGGGCGGCCAAGAGGGGTTCCAGCCGTGGAGTGAGTTCCTCAGAATTCAGGCTGTGATCCATTCATGAGTCACAAAATCCATGTTGTGGGTAGAGACCAGATGTGTTTTTTTCTTCTTCAATAAAACAGAAGAGATGAGAAGGAAGGAAAAATCAGTGCATTGCAATGGTGCCAGCTGTTGCTTCCTGAGACCTGGGTTGTCTACTTTGGGAGGAGGCCCGAGGGCGGAGAGGTGGAAGGCAGTCGAGAGGTCAGAGGGAGCGGCCCCCGCCACAGGTCTCTGCCGTCGCCGGAGGCACTCGGAGGGGCCGTCCAGTGTGAGTGTCTGTAGAAAGGTCACTTACCAGGTCTGTGGACGTCCCCGGGCCTCCGGGCTGGCCTTGTCCCGTTCTGTGGCTGCAGGGCCCCCAGGGCCTGGCTTCAGTCCTCTGCTGCTCCCCCAGCCATGTGACCCTGGGGAAGGCATGTCACCTCGCCGAGCCCCGCGTCTCCTCTGTCAATGGACAAACAGCAGGAGCCTTAGGAGGACGGACCGAGGGCACGCACAGGGCGCCTTGTCCCTGTCCTGGCAGATGCCAAGAATTAAGCCATGCCCACTGCGATGATGAAGATGATGCCAACTGCTGTTATAATTGTCATCATTTAGGCAGCACATTTGGAGCTGCTGGTGTGATCATTTAAAAGCCCGTGAGCTCTGGACTCAGACAGAACCGGGTTTGGCCCAAGGCAGTCCCCTCAACACATCTGGGATTCAGTTTCCCTACCTTGGGGTCCAGCCATGGCCAGTGTGCTCAATGGTTAGAGCGCCCACCCACATACCAAAGGTTCGAGGGTTCGCGTCCCCGGTCAAAGGCATGTACCTGTGTTGCGGATTTGATCCCTGCCCAGATCGGGGGTGCCTGAGGGAGGCAACCAATTGGTGTGTCTGTCTTAAATCGATGTGTCTCTTTTTCTTTTTTAATATATTTTATTGATTTTTACAGAGAGGAAGGGAGAGGGAGAGAGAGTTAGAAACATCGATGAGAGAGAAACATCGATCAGCTGCCTCCTGCACACTCCCCACTGGGGATGTGCCCGCAACCAAGGTACATGCCCTTGACCGGAATCGAACCCAGGACCTTTCAGTCCGCAGGTGGATGCTCTATCCACTGAGCCAAACTGGTTAGGGCAATGTTTCTCTTTTTTTTTTTTGTCTCTCCCTCTCTCCCCGCTCCCTCTTTTCCTTCCACTGTCTCTACAAATCTATGGAAAATATCCTCGGATGAGGATTAACAGCAAAGAGAGTGAGGCTCAGGTGAGCTGGTGCTTCATGCCCTCAGCTCTCAGGGCCCAGCCACTGCTGCCACCCCTGATGCCAAACTTCTGAAGCCTGGAGCTTCCCCAGGTTCCTCCATGGGAAGCGAGGCCGGGGGTTTCTATCGCTGACCGCGACGTCTAGATGTTTCACTTCCGGACTATTTAGTGAGCTTGACATGTCCTCTTCCTGAAATTCAAGGAATTCCAGAATCCGAGGCACACGGCCCCACCTTGGAGAGCTCCAGATTAGGGGCCTGTGGGACCTGTAAGGTGTTTTGGTTTGTTTCTTTTAAAGAAAACTTTTTATTTGGGAGTAATTTTAGATCTACAGAAAAGTTTAAAGATAGCACACAGGGTGCCCTCTGCTCCCAAGCAGCGTCCCCCACATTCAGCTCTTACAGACCTGCAGCGCCATTTTTCCCTTCTTAGCTTGTTTTAAAATGCGTTCCGACTTACAGGAACGTTGTGCCTGGCTTCTTCTACAACATTTTTTTCTTTTTAATTTATTGATTTTAGAGAGAGAGAGGGGTAGGGGGAGAGAGAGAAAAAAAACATTGATTTGTTGTTCCACTTACTTATGTATTCATTGGTTGCTTTTTGTATGTGGCCTGGCCGGGGATTGAACCTGCAACCTGGCCCATCCTGGCGATGCTCTAACCAACGGAGTTAGCTGGCCAGGACTGTAAATGTTAGCATTGGACCACATCCCCTTTATTCTCCTCCCCCAAATATATAACATGTATATGCTACATGGAAGTGTATGTACACGCATGATTTATTGGATGCATGATTACAGCTGTCATTTCTTTACTATATAGTTAATAGGCACATAGTCATTTTTTTCTGAACTGTTTGTAACTTGCAGACCTGGAGCCTTTTATCCCTGAAGACTCCAGGGGATTTGAGTCTTACCACACAGCAAAGACTCCCCAGGACCATGAACAAAAGCTGGCGATGAGCGCGGGGCACCGCAGCCAGCTTTCCCGCTTCCCCCACTCCCCCCGGCTAACGTCCTGTATGGCAACACAACAGCGTCTCTTCTTCTGAGGCCCTGATTCCCGTGGACTTATAACCCCCGGTGCCACCTCTGACCTGCCCTTGTCACCCTCAGATGTGCTGGCGGGGGCGGGGGGCAGGGACAGGATACCCCTGGGGGCTGATGCAAGGCAGTCCCTTCCTTCTCCTGCCTCCCGCACTCCCCACCCTCCTCCCTGCTCCCCCCTCTGCTCCCATTTCCTCTTTCTTGGCTCCACCAGGCCACCCCTTCCCTTTTTGCTGCTTTTCCAGTTCCTCCTGCTGCAGTCCCCCCTTTAGTCCCTGGAAAGCCCCCACACCTGTGTCCCCCAGGAGCCAGGCAGGTTGACCAGATACTGGAGGAGCCTTCTGGGCTTGCACCTCCCACCTGGCTGTCACACCCATTTTACAGACAGAAAACAGAGGCACGGAGAGAGAGGGAGGTTCTGGAGCTCAGACAGCCGGGAGCGGAGCCTTGGAGCTTCTGGTCCGGGGCCCTTAAAGATTCCAGAATTGATATCACAAGCCCACGGCTGGCTTTGAGTGTGAACAGCCTGGGCGGCCCCCAGTGCCCTCACTCAGAAAGGTCCTGAGGTTTTCGCCTTGCACTTGGCCCTGTCAGCTCTGCAGCTGGCCCTGCAAGGGCCCCTCTCCCCATTCTGGTTCATAGCAAGGCTAGGACTGTTGATTCTGTCTCCCAAACATCTCACCAGCTCCTGCATCCACCCCATCCCGGTGCCTCTCGGCCCTGGTACCCCACAGCCTGTCCTCGCCCACCGCAGCCATCAGAGGACGCATATGAGCACCTGAGTCACGCCCATCCCTCTGTCCACAGCCCTCCAGGGCTCCCACCTCCCTGGGGCAAAAGTCCAAGTCCTCCCCCAAGGCCCTGCATGACCTGCCCTGTCCCTTCCCTCTAGCACAGTGGTTCTCAACCGTCCTAATGCCGCGACCCTTTAATACAGTTCCTCATGTTGTGGTGACCCCCAACCATAAAATTACTTTCGTGGCTACTTCATAACTAATGTTGCTACTGTTATGAATCCTAATGTAAATATCTGATATGCAGGATGTATTTTCATTGTTACAAATTGAACATAATTAAAGCATAGTGACTAATCACGAAAACAATATGTAATTATATGTGTTTTCCGATGGTCTTAGGCGACCCCTGTGAGAGGGTCGTTCGACCCCCAAAGGGTTCGCGACCCACAGGCTGAGAACCGCTGCTCTATCACCGCCTCCCTTCCCTCCCCTCCAGCCTCCCAGGGCCTCCTGGTTGTCTGTGCTCTACAGGGAGAAAACAGCCATAGACCATTCAAACACAAATGGGTGTGGTCGTGTGCCAATAAAACTTTATTGATAGACGCTGAAACCTGAATTTCATATAATTTTCACAGGATATGAAACAATTTTCTTTTGATTCCTTTCAAAGTAAAAACCAGAACCATAAAAAGTATCAGAAACAGAAAAAAACATACAAACTGTAAAAACTGCCCAGCTGTGCACAGACAGGCTGTGTCTGGATGTGGCCGGAGGGCCACCGTTTGCAGACCCTCCCAGGAGCCCCTTACACTGAACGCATGTCGCCCTCACACTGAAGGCGCGGGCAGGGCCTATGGAGATCCATGGTGCACAGGCAGGGAGACTGAGGCAGAAGCGGAGGCCGCTCACCACGGTCATAGTGTGGCCTGGGCCCGGGGGTTTGAACGCAGGAAGTCCGGGCTGAGATTGAGCGATGGCTCGTGTCCGCAGGCCCAGGTGAGAGCGGGAAGAGCACGTTCATCAAGCAGATGCGCATCATCCACGGGGCTGGCTACTCGGAGGAGGACCGCAAGGGCTTCCGGCCGCTGGTCTACCAGAACATCTTCGCGTCCATGCGGGCCATGATCGAGGCCATGGACCAGCTGCAGATCTCCTTCAGCAGGCCCGAGAGCAAGGTGAGCGTCCTGGGGCTGCCACGTGGGTGCCACGGGGGGGGGTCCCCACCTGCCCCCCTCACAGGTCCCCCATGCCTCCCCAGAGCTCATCCCTTGGACCCCTTGGGTGTGGGGATCCTGAACCAATGGCCGTTCCCCTGTGGAAATATTAATACAATGCACAGATGACTGCAGGAAAAGGCTGCTGTGCAATTCATGCATCACACCCTCCCCCCCCTTTTTTAAAATATATTTTATTGATTTTTTACAGAGAGGAAGGGAGAGAGATAGAGAGTTAGAAACATTGATCAGCTGCCTACTGCACACACCCTACTGAGGATGTGCCTGCAACCAAGGTACATGTCCTTGACCAGAATCGAACCCGGGACCCTTCAGTCCGCAGGCCGACGGTCTATCCACTGAGCCAAACCGGTCAGGGCCACACCTCCTTTTTAAGAACACACATTATTTTATTGTGGTAAGAATACTCAACATGAGATCTACCCTCTCAAATTTTAGGTGCAGGTACGGTATTAGCTGGAGGAAGGATGGGCTGCAGGGCTCTAGAAGATCCGTCCTACTGAGGGAAACTCGACCTTGCCATCCTACCTGACTAGCGATTGCACGTGGCCCCTCCCCAAGCCCGTCTCCCTGTTCCCTTGAGTCTGCCTATTCAGGGTGCCTCCCGTAATGGGGTAGTGTAGTAATTTTCTTTTATGGCTGGCTTATCTCACTTAACACGAGGTCCTCAAAGTTTACCCACGTGGACACCTGTTGTAGAATTTCCTTATTTTTATTTTATTTTAAAAATATTTTTATTGATTTCAGATAGGGAGAGGGAGAGAGAGAAACATCAATAATGAGAGAGAATCATTGATGGGCTGCCTCCTGCACGCTCCCTACTGGGAATCAAACCATGACCTCCTGGTTCATAGGTCGATGCTCAACCATTGAGTTACACCAGCTGGGCTTTTATTCTGCATTTGATGTCAGTTCCTCCTGAATACTCAACTGATTTCTTTAGTGCCTTTGGTATACTTCAAAAGACTTTGCCTGTCACTGACCTTAACCCCATGTCTCTGGGCCTTAAAATAAAACTCTTCAACAACAGAGAGTTAGGGTTGCATGACATTGCCATTAGATTGCTTCTAATAATAATCCTTATTCTTAGACAAATACACCAATGAACTTAAGTCCTAGGGATACCATGGAATGTGAAATAATTTCATATCTTGTGTCCATTGGTTATGCTTATACGCATGCATACAAGTCCTTCGGTTGATCTCTTACCCCCAGCCCCCTACAAGGACCACATTTTCTTATCCATTCATCTGGGTTTTTTCTACATCTTGGCTATTGAGAATAGTGCTGCCATGAACATGGGAGTGCTCATATCTTTTCGAGATATGCTTCTCATTTTTTAGGGATGAACACCTAGAAGGAGAATTGCTGGGTCATATGGTGACTCCATTTTTAACTTTTTGAGGAACCTCCATACTGTTTTCCATAGTGGCCACATCATTTTGGTTGTTTTTTATAATGGCCATGTGAACAGGGGCGAGGTCACATTCCCTTCCTAAAACCTGGAAGCATCTGGTTTGTGAATATGAGGTGGTCCAAGGACGTTGGAAGAGGGACTGGAGGCCTGTGGTTCCTACCTCCCAGGGCTGATGTGAGAATACCCGCTGGCTCATAGGTCTATGCTCAACCATTGAGTTACACCAGCTGGGCTTTTATTTTATTTTTCAGTTTTACAGTTACATTCAATATTATTTTGTATTCGTTTTAGATATACAGAATAGTGGCTAGATGACCATATACTTGACAAGAATTTCCTTTTTTTAAAAAAAAATATAGTTTTATTGATGTCAGAGAGGAAGGGAAAGGGATAGAGAGATAGAAACATCAATGATGAGAATCATAGATCGGCTGCCTCCTGCACGCCCCCTACTGGGGATCGAGCCCGCAACCCGGGCATGTGCCCTGGACTGGAATGGAACCTGGGACCCTCTATCCACTGAGCTAAACCAGCTAGGGCAAGAATTTCCTTCTTTTTAAAGACTGAATACTATTCCACTTATGGACCACAATATGCTTCTCATTTTTTAGGGATGAACACCTAGAAGGAGAATTGCTGGGTCATATGGTGACTCCATTTTTAACTTTTTGAGGAACCTCCATACTGTTTTCCATAGTGGCCACATCATTTTGGTTGTTTTTTATAATGGCCATGTGAACAGGGGCGAGGTCACATTCCCTTCCTAAAACCTGGAAGCATCTGGTTTGTGAATATGAGGTGGTCCAAGGACGTTGGAAGAGGGACTGGAGGCCTGTGGTTCCTACCTCCCAGGGCTGATGTGAGAATGTGATCAATTAAAGGTGCTGAAAGCTCTCAAAACAGTGCCTGGAATGCAGTCTGGGCTCAGTAGTGAGTGGTGATATGATCATTTAATCCTCACAACAACCCCTTTCAGCGATCACCCCATTTTAGAGATGGGACAGGGGCTCCCCCTAAGGATAACCACGTCTCATCTTTCATCGACATGTATGAGCTGCCTATTTTTTAAATTCTCGAATTTTCTGGAATGATCTTTTACGTCTGGCTTCTGGTGCCGTATGTCTGTGATTTATTTATCTTTGGGGACGACGGTCAGTTTATTTGTCCATTCTAATGCTGCTGACTTTTGGGTCATTTGCATATTTCTGCTGGGTGTCTACCAAGAAGGAACACGTAGAAGACACTGTTTTCCAAGTAATTGTAGCAAGTCACACGCCTCCCAGCAGAGCTCCGGTTGCTCCCTGTCCTAGCAACACTTGAAGTTGCCGTCACTTCATTTAAGGCAGTGGTTCTCAACCTTCCTAATGCCGCGACCCTTTAATACAGTTCCTCATGCTGTGGTGACCTCCAATTTCATTGTTACAAATGGAACATAATTAACGCATAGTGATTCATCACAAAACAATATGTAATTATATCTGTGTTTTCCGATGGTCTTAGGCGACCCCTTGTGAAAGGGTCGTTCGACCCCGAAAGGGGTCACGGCCCACAGGTTGAGAACCACTGATTTAAGCCATTCTGGTGGGTGCTTGGTGGCATTTCATTGTGGTTCTTGTTTTTGTTTTAAATATATTTTTATTGATTTCAGAGAGGAAGGGAGAGAGAGGTAGAAACATCAATGACGAGAGAGAATCATAGATCGGCTGCCTCTCGCACGCCCCACGCTGGGAATCAGAGCCTGCAACCCAAGCTTGTGCCCTGACCAGGAATCGAACCATAACCTCCTGGTTCATAGGTTGATGTTTAACCACTGAGCAACGCCAGCTGGGCTCATTGTGGTTTTGATTTCCATTGCTCTGATGAATAATGAGCTCATGTACCTTTTCATATGTTTGTTGGACACTTGGATACTCTTTTTTTGTGAAGCAACTGTTCAAATCTTTTGCCTTTTTCCCCACTTAGAAAAGTACAATTCCTCAGTTTTTTTCTTTACTGATTTATAGCAAATTCTATAATTTGTATATTCTGGATATAAGCGCTTTCTTACTTTCACATCTATGGTTAGATTATTCCTAGGTATTTGCTAGCTCTTGATGCTACTATAAATGCGATTTAAATTCTTAAAAATTTCCACTAGTTAGTGGTTAGTATACAGACACATATCTTATTTTCATTTATTGATCTTTCATTTGGGGACCCCATTAAGTTCACTTGTTTATTCTAACAGTTTATCTACAGACTATTTTGGATTTTCTACACAAAGCCGTATCGTCTGTGCATAACCACATGTAATTTCTCCCATTGCAAACCCGACCTTTTATTTCTTTTTCATGTGTTAATTAGAAATGGCGTGAGTGGGCCTCACTGTCTCGTTCCCAGTCTCCTGTGTTTTAAGAGCGAAGGACCCATAGTCACTTCCTTCAAAGCACATTAAGGACTATTCAGGGCCTTCCCTGAATATACATTTTACTCTGAATTTTTAGAAGGATGTGTCTCTTAATTTTTACTTCTAAAATTCTTAATCATCTTTTTAAAACTTTGAAGTTAATGTATTTTCAGGCTGTATATTAGTTTGCTCAGGCTGCCGTCACCAAGTGCCACAGTCTGGGGAGCTTACACATCAGAAATTTATTCTTTCACAGTCTGAAGGCTGGACGCCTGAGGTGAGGGTGTTGGCGGGGCTTGTTTCTCCTAAGGCTTCTCTCCTTGGCTGGCAGAGGGCCTCTCTCCGTGTCCTCACATGGCTGTCCTTACTCGCTTCCTATAAGGACACGAGTCATACATCAGATCAGGACCCACCCTAGTGACCTCATCGGAACTGGATCACCTCCGTAAAGACCCCCATCCTCAAATACAGCCCCAGCCTGCGGTCCTCCGGGTTAGGACTTACACTCAGGGATTTGTGGAGGACATGGGTGGTGGACAAAACCCGGCCGTAAGAGGCCGCGAGCCGCTCACTGATCCGATACAGGGTTATCCTCACACCCCCAGGCCTTCCCGGTCCCCACCCCCGGGGCTGTCATGTGCCCTCCCTCAGGGTGAGGCCTGGGCAAGGTGCTCCTCGTGCCTCAGTAGCCTAATCCGTAAACTGGGGACATCTGTAGGGACTTGTCTCCTGGGAGTCAGGGAACCAGTGCTTGTGAGGAGGGGGAGCCCCGCAGGCAGGAGGCCTCCGTGCACAGGGGCCATGGTCCCCCGGAGCTCATTTCTCTGCTGCCCTGGTGCTGGGGCAGCACTCTGCCGCCTCGCTCCCTCCGTGGGCAAATGCATGAAGGAGCGCCTCAGAGGAGACAACGGGTGGGGATGGGCAGGGTGCGCACGGGGAGGAAGGAGAGGCAGCCGAGAAAGGAGGGGGAGGGCCTGGCTGGGATATCAGGAGGCTGCTCTGACCAGCCCCGTCCTTCCCTCCAGAACTACGCCAGCCTGGTCATGAGCCAGGACCCCTACAAAGTGACCACTTTTGAGAAGCGCTACGCGGTGGCCATGCAGTGTCTGTGGAGTGACGGCGGCATCCGGGCCTGCTACGAGCGCCGGCGCGAGTTCCACCTGCTGGACTCGGCAGTGTAGTGAGTCTGGGGTCATGGCGGCCGTGCGGGGTACAGGGTGTGGGGTGGGGGGCGAGCTGGGCACAGCTGCAGGTTGGAGAGGCAGCCAGCAGAGACCCAGTGCCAGGATTGCACCTGCACAGAGGGGGTCCCAGGGGGCCGGCTCCCACCCCGGGGACTGGCTGCTGGGCATCAGCTGGCTGTGCGGTGGTTGACGTTGTTCCTGGGTGAGGTTGTTTTGGGATGACATTGTCTCTGGGGTGACATTGTCCCTGGAGTGACCCTGTTTTGGGGGTGATGTCATTGGTGGGGTGACACAGCTGCTAGGGTGAATCTGCCCCAGGGGACACCATTTCTTGGGTGACACTGCTCATCATCACATGGTAATACTGTCCCAGGGATGATGGTGGATGCCCGGGGTGGTGTCACTCCTGGTGACAGCCCCCAAGATGACACCCCTCTGCAGCGCTGCTGTTCTCGGGGTCACACCATCCTTGGGGTCAAGCTGCTTTAGGGGTGAAGCTGCTTCTCCCAGGGCTCCCATGGCCTCGGGGTGGTGCTCCTGGGGCTCCTGCAGACCCCAGAGATCCTGGCCCCTTGTGGGGGGCTCTCCCCTAGCAGGGTCCTCACGGGGTCCTGGCGGGGGGGCGGTCTGAGAAGCCAAGGAAGTCTGCGGGGCCAGGCTCAGGGCTCCCTGTTCCCCAGCTACCTGTCACACCTGGAGCGCATCACCGAGGAGGGCTACATCCCCACCGCCCAGGATGTGCTCCGCAGCCGCATGCCCACCACCGGCATCAACGAGTACTGCTTCTCCGTGCAGAAAACCAACCTGCGGTGAGTGCAGGGCCTCCTGGGCGGGGAGTGCTTCCTGGAGGAGGGGCAAACAGCTGGGGCCCCGAGGGAGGAGTAGGCGTTTCCTGGGGTGAAGGAGGCAGAATTGGACATAAACACCCCGTAGCCCCCCCATACAGTCAGAACCGGGACCTGGAAGAGCCCAGAGTGAGGCACCAGAGCTCCAAGGGGGAAATCTTCCTGGAGGAGGGAACACTGGTATTAGGGCATTGAAGGATGAGTAGGAGTTCTCTAGTTCCGACCCTTGAAGGGCTGTTGTGCAGGAGAAGACAGAGACTGTGTGGTCAGAGCTGTTCCAGAGGGATGGATTTGGACTGGGAAGCTCAGAGGGTGGTTCCTCTAGTGATCAATAGGGGGTGAGACTAGAAGTCCAGAGAGTCCGGAGGAGGCAGGAGCCATGGTCCAGGCAGGAAGGGTTAGTCATGGCCAGGGCAGTGGCCATGGGGATGGGAATGAGGGGATGGTGCAAGAAATGTTTCTGATGTAGAAGGGGCAGGACTAGGTGAGTGTGGGATTGAGAGCAGGGAGCTGAAAATGTCTCCCAGTTTTCCCATCAGGGTGACCGGGTAGGAGGTGGAGCCACCATGGCGGCAGCAGCAGATGGGGGGTATTAGATAAGACGATAAAGTCCTTGGGGCACATAGAGTCTGAGGGGTCTAGGGCATCTGGGAGCTGACTGGGCACACACAGGCCTGAGCTGGAAGACAGAGGTGTGGATGGGCATGCAGCAACACGGTGTCAGGAGGGTGATGCCTAGTGTCAAAGGCCAAGGAGAGGTCAGGAGAACACAGC